GACCGGTACATCGACCGCATTACTGCAGAAGCTGCATCGATCCGCCTGTCAATCTCCCGTTCCATCCTTCCCTCACTCGTGAACAAGACCCCAAGATACTTGAACTCCTCCACTTGAGGCAGGAACTCTCCACCAACCTGAAGGGAACAAGCCACGCTTTTTCGACTGAGAACCATGGCCTTGGATATGGAGGTGCTGATTCTCATCCCAGCCGCTTCACACTCAGCTGCAAACCGCCCCAGTGCACGCTGGAGGTCCTGGTTTGATGGGGCCAACAGGACAACGTCGTCTGCAAAAAGCAAGATGAACAGGTTAAAACATCACATTCTCTCAGTGGAATCGCAGCAACATACATCCTCCTTTTATTTCAGCAATAACTGTACAAATAACACCATCTTCTTGAGTGAAAATATAAAATGAGGAGTATTGGTCAAATGTTGTGCATATGCATATCACAAAAAACTGGTTATAGTGGAAACCTACAAATGAACTCTTTGATACTCATCTGTGATGTTTGAAAACTTTCATCGTTTATGTTGTGATGAACTGTAATCTGCTGTTTTTGGTGTACTGACCTTTGCTTTTTATTCAACATGCCATGAATGTGGCCCATTGTTCTTAATTAGAGGTACCACTTCAAACAAAATGCTACCAGTTATAAGGCAGGTTTGTTTATAGTCTCTATGCCCCAGATGCCAATCAAAGCTATTAACCAGAGCCATCCACCAGCCCACCAATTCAGACGCATGGAGGAGCATGTCTGATCTCCAGTGTTTCTTTTTCTTACTGTAATAATATGGAAATGTGAATGTAACATTTACATTAATATGAGTTTGTCTGCTACAAGTGACTTTTGTGATCGTATTTGAACTTTATATTGAATCCACTGATGCAAAGATCAGATTTTTCACCTAGCATCTATTTTGGCAACTTGCTCCACAACAGTTAATGCTGGAGCATGTAGCAGTGCTGTTCAGTGAGACACTTGTTGGTTATGGGTTTCTTTATTTAGATTTCTGAATTTATCTTGAAATTGATTGTACCTTAAGGTTGTTTAAAATTGTTTTAAAATATTAAGTCTTGAGTTTTAACTGTGGTGCACAGTAGAATAACATATCGGCATTGTCCTTATATGTGTCAAATTCCTTGAATATGTTCTTTCCTGTTTTGTGGTGGAGGCACAATTACACAGACAATTACATCAACTCTTTTGGGCACAGAACTCCCATTGATTTCTAATCGAGATGTTTTCCTGTCTATTTAGTGCATGATTCCCAATGTTGCCCTTTTGTTCTGATCGCAATGGTGCTTTATAGCCATAGGAAAGAGGATTCTCTGTTCAAAATGAAAAACACGACGGACCAGTACATCGACCGCATTACTGCAGAAGCTGCACCGATCCGCCTGTCAATCTCCCGTTCCATCCTTCCCTCACTCGTGAACAAGACCCCAAGATACTTGAACTCCTCCACTTGAGGCAGGAAATATCCACCAACCCGAAGGGAACAAGCCACGCTTTTTCGCCTGAGAACCATGGCCTTGGATATGGAGGTGCTGATTCTCATCCCAGCCGCTTCACACTCAGCTGCAAACCGCCCCAGTGCACGCTGGAGGTCCTGGTTTGATGGGGCCAACAGGACAACGTCGTCTGCAAAAAGCAAGATGAACAGGTTAAAACATCACATTCTCTCAGTGGAATCGCAGCAACATACATCCTCCTTTTATTTCAGCAATAACTGTACAAATAACACCATCTTCTTGAGTGAAAATATAAAATGAGGAGTATTGGTCAAATGTTGTGCATATGCATATCACAAAAAACTGGTTATAGTGGAAACCTACAAATGAACTCTTTGATATTCATCTGTGATGTTTGAAAACTTTCATCGTTTATGTTGTGATGAACTGTAATCTGCTGTTTTTGGTGTACTGACCTTTGCTTTTTATTCAACATGCCATGAATGTGGCCCATTGTTCTTAATTAGAGGTACCACTTCAAACAAAATGCTACCAGTTATAAGGCAGGTTTGTTTATAGTCTCTATGCCCCAGATGCCAATCAAAGCTATTAACCAGAGCCATCCACCAGCCCACCAATTCAGACGCATGGAGGAGCATGTCTGATCTCCAGTGTTTCTTTTTCTTACTGTAATAATATGGAAATGTGAATGTAACATTTACATTAATATGAGTTTGTCTGCTACAAGTGACTTTTGTGATCGTATTTGAACTTTATATTGAATCCACTGATGCAAAGATCAGATTTTTCACCTAGCATCTATTTTGGCAACTTGCTCCACAACAGTTAATGCTGGAGCATGTAGCAGTGCTGTTCAGTGAGACACTTGTTGGTTATGGGTTTCTTTATTTAGATTTCTGAATTTATCTTGAAATTGATTGTACCTTAAGGTTGTTTAAAATTGTTTTAAAATATTAAGTCTTGAGTTTTAACTGTGGTGCACAGTAGAATAACATATCGGCATTGTCCTTATATGTGTCAAATTCCTTGAATATGTTCTTTCCTGTTTTGTGGTGGAGGCACAATTACACAGACAATTACATCAACTCTTTTGGGCACAGAACTCCCATTGATTTCTAATCGAGATGTTTTCCTGTCTATTTAGTGCATGATTCCCAATGTTGCCCTTTTGTTCTGATCGCAATGGTGCTTTATAGCCATAGGAAAGAGGATTCTCTGTTCAAAATGAAAAATTGTTGAAGAGGAATGTCATTCAGCGGCAGCTACGTCCGTCCACTCTACCCTGCACAGTCCCCATACAGAGAGCCTGCTGTGCTTGGAGCTTCCTGCTAACTCATTGTCATGGCACATTTTCTGCCTTTGTCATGCACATATAGACTGCAAGGAGCTTACTGATACAAAGCCACACTCAGACACAAGGACAAAACATGCAAGCTTGTGCAAGAGGTTACATGTGTGCAGTGTTTCAGCAGTCTCTGTATGTGCACTAAGGGCTGGTGATTGGTTTGTTGCCCATTACGTTAATCAATGCTACAGAATAAACCTTTTTTGTTTTAATGTCCATTTTCTGTAATGCATTCCTTGAGAGATTTTATTATGTGGTTTATCAAGGGGTGTAATGAGCAGCTTTTGACTGGGTTTTACACCTTGTTTACCTTCTTGAGTAAAACCAATGACATCAGGGAACTGGTCAGGAGGTTTTAGTGTTACATTCAGTCTACCAATCATAATTTTAACTCATTTGCTCTTACTGATGCCTGGATCTTTGTCAACCTGTGCATCACATTTGGCCTCTACCCATGGACTACAGATGAAAATTAACATTTAGTCTTAAATGGAAAATAAAAGATTGTTCTCTGTGTGTCCAGGTATCCCGCCTGCCAGCAGCACAGGCACCCTTCAGATGTATCTGCTGGATATAAATGACAATGCACCTCATGTGTTCCCCCCTGAGGTAGAAATGTGTGAGAAGCCAGATCCCAATGCCATCAACATCACAGCCAGTGACCCTGACCTGAGCCCTAATGCTGGACCATTCGTCTTCGAGCTGGCCAATCGTCCATCAGACATTCGCCGCAACTGGACACTCAGTCGAATCAGCGGTCAGTGTGAGAAGTGTCTAAGCATGTCAGTTTGGTCCTGTACAGTACCTTCAGGGATCAGAATCAGAATCAGTTTTATTGGCCAGGTGTGATGGACACACGAGGAATTTGACTCAGGTACATCGGGTCTCAATGGGCAAACAGTAAACCAGCATAAGGCTGTGTAATATAACAAAATAAGCAGTATTAACAGCAACATTGACAGCGACAAACAGTGCAAGCAATTCAGAATAAGCAGTATAAACAGACAGTAAACAATGCAGACAACAAGGAATGTTCATTGAAATGAGATAAATAGGGATAAGGGATAAAGACAAAAGACAGAGTACTTAAAACTAGAGACCTGTACGATCTGTACCATGTATATATACACAGGTATTGCACTGAGGGTTATTGTCCAATCATACTGTCATTGGTTAAGTGTTCATCAGTGTGATGGCCTGGGGAAAGAAACTGTCCCTGTGCCTGGTTGTCTTGGTGCATAGTGACCTGTAATGCCGTCCAGAGGGGAGGAGTTCAAACAGGTTGTGTCCGGGGTGTGAGGGGTCAGCAGTGATCCTCTCTGCCCTCCTTTTGACCCATGCAGTGTACAGGTCCTCCATGGAGGGCAGGCTCACACCAATGACCTTTTCTGCAGTCCTGACTGTTCGCTGAAGCCTGTACTTGCCCTGTTTGGTTGCTGAGCCAAACCAGACAGTGATGGAGGTGCAGAGAACAGACTCAATGATTCCTCTGTAGAACTGTATCAGTAGCTCCTAGGGCAGGTCGAACTTCCTGAGCTGGTGCAGGAAGTACATCCTCTGCTGTACCTTCTTGGTGATGGTCCTGATGTTGGACGTCCACTTCAGGTCCTGGGAGATAGTGGAGCCCAGGAACTTGAAGGACTTTACTGCTGATACAATGCTGCCAAGTATGGTAAATGGGGGTAAGGTGGGAGGGCTCTTCCTGAAGTCCACTGTCATCTCCACTGTTTTGAGCGTGTTTAGCTCCAGGTTGTTGCGGCTACACCACAGGACCAGCTGCTCAACCTCCCGTCTGTAGGCTGACTCATCATGGTCTCGGATGAGACCAGTGACCGTTGTGTCATCTGGTTTCTTGTTTTTTTGTGGTGTACACTTACAGTATTTCTTTTATGTGTGAATGCTAATTGCATTGTTTGTGTGTGTACTCTTCTGACAATATAAACTTTTAGTAGTGCGTATAGTAATAATGTCATTATCTAAGTGCTTTATTCCATGCATTATACTCAGCTTCATTATTCCAGTGGTGTTGAAGGCCGAGCTGAAGTCAAAGAGGGCCCGCGCATAAGTCCCTGGGGAGTCGAGGTGTTGCAGGATGTAATGCAATGCCATTTCACTGCATCGTCCACTGACCTGTTTGCCCAGTAGGCGAACTACAGAGGGTCAACGATGTCCTTCAGGTGGGCCAACACCAGTCTTTCAAAGCACTTCATAACTACAGATGTCAGGGCAACAGGTCTGTAGTTGTTCACTCCACTGATGGAGGTTTTCTTGGGGACTGGAATGATGGTGGAGCGTTTGAAGCAGTAGGGGCCTTCACACAGCTCCAGTGACCTGTTGAAGATAAGTGTGAAGATGGGGGCCAGCTGATCAGTGCACACTTTCAGGCAGGAGGGTTCACACCATCTGGGCCCGGAGCCTTTCTGATCTTTTTTCTTTTAAAGAGGCCACGCACATTGTTTTCACAGAGAGTTAGACGTGAGGGGCTGGAGGGAAGGGTGATTGTCGGGGTGATTGTCGGGGGAGCAGCTGCTGGATCTGAGGTGGGGATGGTGAGGGGGGGAGTATTGTCTCTCAAACCTGCAGTAGAACACATTCAGGTCGTCTGCTAGTTGACGGTCCTCCACAGCAGGCGGGGACGAGGGGGGAATGGTTTTCTATAGCCAGTGATGGTTTTCAGGCTCCCCCACACAGACAAGGGGTTGTTGGCTGAAACCTGAGCTTTCAGCTTTTCAGAGTAGCTCCTCTTTGCTGCTCTGATCTTCCTTGTCAGTGTGTTCCTTGCCTGGCTGTACAGAGTCCTTTCCCCACTTTGGCAAGACGAAGCTGCTTGAGTCTTGCTGTAAACCAGGGCTTGTTGTTGTTGTATGTGCAGAAGTCTTTTTGGGCACACACACATCCTCTCAGAAACTGATATAAGATGTCACAGTGTCTGTGAGTTCATCCAGGTCTGTAGCTGCAGTCTCAAATACACTCCAGTCTGTGCAGTCAAAGCAGGCCTGTAGCTCTGACTTAGCCTCCTCAGTCCAGCTCTTCACTGTTTTGACTATAGGCTTCGCAGCTTTAAGTTTCTGCTTGTAGGTTGGAATAAGATGGACCATACAGTGATCTGAGAGTCCGAGGCCTGCGCGGGGGACAGAGCGATAGGCGTCTTTTATTGTTGTGTAGCAGTAGTCCAGTGTGACTTTGTCCCTCGTGGGACAGGTGACGTGCTGTCTGTATTTGGGCAGTTCGTGGGTGAGGTTTGCTCTGTTAAAGTCCCCTAGAACAATGACTGGAGAGTCAGGATGTTGTAGCTCCAGGCTAGTTATCAGTTTTGCTAGGAGCCGTAGCGCGCTAGCGTTAGCCTGCGGTGTTATGTACACTCCCATTAGCATGAAACTGTTGAATTCACGGGGAGAGTAAAAGGGTTTGCAGTTGATAACAAGAGACTCTAGGTCTGCAGTACATGTCCTCTGTAGCACTGTGACATCTGTGCACCAACCTTCATTTATCTAGAAGCAGATTCCACCTCCTCTTGTTTTCCCGGACAGCTCCTTTACACCATCCGCTCTGTACACCTGGAAGCCTGGTACTTGAATCACACTGTCCCCAATGGAGTCACTGAACCAGGTCTCCATGAAGACAAAGCAGCAGAGCGTGCAAAGTCAGAGTTAGTCCTGTTGACGAGAAGAATTTCATCCATTTTATTGACCAGGGAGTGGAGATTAGCCAGGTGAATAGGTGGGAGTGAGGTCTGTGTTCCCTCTGTTGCTTTCTGTTCCTGCTTAAAAGGGTGAAGCTGAAACGACTTTCGGAATATTAATTTAATATTTAATATATCTAATATTTTAATACTTTGCGAAAGTAGGGCATCAAGCTGAATGAGGTCAAGGTCAAGTGTTTATTGTCACAGTGAGGAAAATGTTTTTCCTGTACAATGAAATTCTTACTTTGCCTTCCACACAAATGCCACACAATATAAGTGAAATATAAAGTAGATACGTAGGTAACACAAAATATAAATCACAAAATCTAAGGCACTTTAAAACAGCCAATGTAAGAAGCATATGAAAAATATAACAAGAACACAATATAATGGAGAGGATGTATGCTGTTCAAATAGTCAGCAATAGTGCAAACTGAGTGTGTAAACAGTACAGGTGGAATCATATGAGGTAGTTCCTGAGTCACAGGATCATTCTGATGTTGTCTTTAGGACTTAACAAATGATTCAACTTAAATAAACTTGGCCTTTGACTTTGCTAACAAAAAACATTTTTTTGCAAAAACTTTGGCTGAAATATTGCGCACTGAACTTCTGATTGGCTTGTGTGCCATGTTACACTACAAAGATTGAAAAATCAGTTCAGTTCTGATTTCTGAGACATAGGGTGACTTGTGAGTAGTCATGCCGTCTCGGGCACTGATTGGTTGGGAGACTGCTAGTGAGAGTCCTCTGGCTGGCTGGAATTCTGGTGCCATGGCAACGGGTTCCTGATTGGCTCTTTAGTGCACTGTGAAACATTCACATCCTATTTCTTGGAGTGAGACTGTTCAGAAAAAATTGGTGATTTTAAGCTAATTTTATGCAGTTCATAACTTCTACTTCTCCACTATGACACATTTACATTTATAGGACTAGAATGTGGGATAACTCTCATTTAAACACAAAATCTAAGCAGCATAATTTCATACAGAACAAGCACAAGGGAATATTATTCTGTGGAGACAAACAGCCAGAGTCAACCATTACTTAAACATTACACTTAATCAGAAAATGAAAATCAAAAGCACTTACATTTTTTTAAGTGGTGTTTGGAACAACACTCTAAGCTAGAGTATTGATGTTGACCTGAAAGTCATCTTTTGTGATCAGATCAAATCAAATCAAATCAAATTTTATTTGTATAGTGCCAAATCACAACAAAAGTCATCTCAGGACACTTTACAAAGTAAGGTCTAGACCTTATTGTTATCACTATTATTACAGAGGGAAAACCCAACAAATCCCCCTTGAGCAAGCACTTGGCGACAGTGGGGCGGAAAAACTCCCTTTAATGGAGAAACCTCCGACAGACCCCAGCTCTTGGTGGGTGGCCTTTTGCCTCAACTGGTTGGGGTGAGTGGATAGAGGAGAGAGAAAAGAAGAAAAGCAACAGGACACAACAAACAATCAAACACTGGTCAGGTTGATGTGGCTGATGACTGCTCATCAGAAACATAGAGCTCCAGAGCCAGGGCAAGCTGCAGAAAAGTACAGGGAGAGAGAGGGGACACACTATGGGAGAGAGGAGACACAAAGTAAGTGATGTGTAATGGTGGCATATAGAAGCATAGGGAGAGGAGAGGAGAGGAGAGGAGAGAAACTCAGAGCATCATCGGGTCCCCCAGAAGCCAAGGCCTATAGCAGCATAACTAAGGGAAGGCTCAGGGTCACCTGATCCAGCCCTAACTATAAGCTTTATCAAAAAGGAAAGTCTTAAGTCTACTCTTAAAGGTAGAGAGGGTGTCCACCTCCCGAACTGAGACTGGGAGCTTGATAGCTAAAGGCTCTGCCTCCCATTCTACTTCTGTGGATTCTAGGAACCACAAGTAAACCTGCACTCTGAGAGCGAAGTGCTCTGTTAGGATGATAAGGCTCTACGAGGTCTTTAAGATATGATGGAGCCTTGTCATTAAGGGCTTTGTATGTTAGAAGAAGGATTTTAAATTTTATTCTGAATTTTACAGGGAGCCAGTGGAGAGAAGCTAATATGAGAGAAATATGATCTCTCTTGCTAGTTCCTGTCAGTACTCTGGCTGCAGCATTTTGGATTAACCTGAGGCTTTTTAGGGAATTATTGGGACATCCTGATAGTAAAGAGTTACAGTAGTCCAGCCTGGAAGTAACAAATGCATGGACCAGTTTTTCAGCATCACTTTGAGACAGGATGCTCCTGATTTTCACAATATTGCGCAGGTGAAAGAAGGCATTTCTAGAGACTTAGCTTATCTATGATTTAAAGGACATATCCTGGTCAAAAATGACTCCAAGGTTCCTCACAGTAGTGCCGGAGGCGAGAGCTATGTCATCTAAAGTAACTATATGATTAGATAGCAGATTTCTAACATTTTCAGGCCCAAGCACAATGACTTCAGTTTTGTCAGAGTTTAGAAGTGAGAAGTTACAGGTCATCCAGGCCCTTATGTCTTTAAGACATGCTTGAAGTTTGACCAGCTGATCTGATTCATTTGGCTTCATAGACAAATGTAACTGAGTATCATCTGCATAGCAAATTTATGCTGTGCTTCCTGATAATATTGCCTAAAAGGGAGCATGTATAAAGTGAAGAGAATTGGACCTAACACAGAGCCCTGTGGAACACTGTGACTAACTTCAGTTTGTGTGGAAGATTCATCATTAACATGAACAAATCTTTCTGACAAATAAGATTTGAACCAACTTAATGCAGTTCCTTTAATCCCAATAACATGTTCAAGTCTCTGTAATAAATACTGTTATCAATGGTGTCAAAAGTAGCACTGAAATCTAAGAGGACAAGTATGGAGACCAGTCCTTTATCAGAGGCTAGGTGAAGATCATTGGTGACTTTCACCAATGCATTTTCTGTACTATGATGGACTCTAAAACCTGATTGAAAAACCTCAAACAAATAATTCTTGTGCAAGTGAATTTTGACTTGCAGTGTTTTGTGAGCCCAAAAAGGGTTGGTTTTCCTTTTTCTGTTCTGTAACTTGTTACACCCCAGTTCTTTTATTGGACAGATCTGAGTAAGGAAGGAGTCCCTCTTTCTTCATTTTAGTGCTGATTTATTTTTAAAGCCACAAATAAAGATTACAGAACACAACCCGGGTTGTTCCTTCCTCCAGAGACACACACACTCTTCCTGCTGGAGCGAGGAGCTCCCGGAAACAGAGAGCCTAATACATTTATCAGTTTTGGGCTAACCCCGTACACAGATGAAGTCAGTCCAGCAGACTCCATTTCTTATCTAGAGCTCCACAGGCTTGGAGCAGCTGCGTGTTACCTAGTCATAACAAAATGAGGAAGCTCAATGTGTGTGTATGTTGTCACGTGGTGTGTAGCTAAGACATTCACTTATTTATTCAGACATATTATTCAGGAAAACAATTGGTGTATTGGCTTACTGCTAACCTTGAAACAGAGCAGACTAGAGCAGACTTTGAATCTTACTAAACTGCATTACTAACAAATTTGAGTCAACACATTGTCCAATAATTATCTGACTGATTTATTAATTTCTAACAAATTCCAGGACCAGTTAATAATTATAACCACAGTAGCAAAGATTTCTGACTTGGACCAAGTCAAACTTAAGTCACAGCAATGAGCCATATGACATTTGAATTGGGAATGACTGCAGAGACACGTGAGGCCTGACTTTCTGAAGATCTGACATGCGACTTAAAGCAAAAGCAGTGTTAGTTTCACAGATGTATCAAAAAACAGTAAACAATGATAAAGAAGGCATCAAGAATGCTTTATTTACAGTGTTAGACATACTGTATCTATGCAGTGTATTGGTGTGGTCTCCAATTTGTAAAAGTGACTGCTGATACAGTTTGCAAACAACATTTCAAAAGTGGTGTCACTCTAATGGTTATAAAGGTCTGACAAACACATTCTTTTGTTATGGTTGGTCCCCCTCACCAGGAGGGTGAGGGAGAACTGTGGTAGGACTCAAGCTTGCAGACCCAGGTGCTAGTGAAAAGAAAAAGGTTTACTGGAAAAAACAAAGTAACAACATAACGGATTCAATGAATAATCCTGAACCAGGGTTAGGGCAGTGACGGCTGAGGAGACCAGGAGAGAAGCAGGATGTGGATGGACAGGTGGAAAGAAAACAAAAGAAAAACTACGCACAGAGACTGTCAGCGTGGAAACCAAACAACGAAATGGTGAAAACACAAAAGACCAACGTGATAAAAGAAATCCACAGCACAGTTACTGTCAGCGTGGAAATCTAAAACATGTAATATTTTTTGGCATAAACTAAGTAATGTTACATTAATGCTCCAGCGACGACGGAGCGTCTGCAAGAAGTTTAAATAAGGAGGAACGTAATCAGCGGGATGCACCCCAGCTGTGTGCACCGACAAATGAGTCGCTAATTACTGAATGCGGCACAGCTGAGGTGCAAATCCCGCAGGATCAAGAGAGCAGAGGAGAGAAAGAGAAAGGCGGAAGAGAGGCAGGTCGCGCTGAGCGGACCTGACATCTTTTCACATCAGTATTTTGGGAGGTTGCCTCGTGGTAACTAAGATTTTTTGGGGTCTGGGCTTGGGGTAAGGTTTGAGTCAAGTTTCTGTTTCTATATCTGCTTTAGCCTGCATCATTGAAAAAATGTCAAGCTCTTCTCTCCATCAGCAGTTACTGTTGAAGTACTTTTGGCAAAGCAAAGGAGCCCCATCTGCTTCGCTGATTGCCATTAGCAGGCTGTAGCAGGACTTGGCAGCTACCAGTGTAACTGAATGGAAAAGTGTGAATATGAAGCAGGGTGTAGTCTGTAAGTGAGCAGTTACAGCGCTTGTCTTTCACCTTCTCTATGTATGTATCCTTCTGCATCTTCATCTTATCATCCTCTAGGTGAGCATGCCCAGCTTCGACTGTGGATCGGCTCCCTGGCCAGTGGGATCTATGAGGTTCCAGTCATGATCACAGACTCTGGCAACCTGCCCATGTCCAACACATCCTACCTGAGGGTCAAGGTCTGCCAATGTGATCACCATGGAGACTGTGTGGACATGGAGCGAATCATCGCAGCTGGACTGGGTACTGGGGCCATTATTGCCATCCTCATCTGTATCATCATTCTGTTAGGTGAGTCTCCTCCAGACCCCCAGGCTCACTGCATGTCACTTCCTTTGTATTAATTACATATTTTCAAATTTGTCAGGCAAGTTGCAGCACTTACGTATAAGGATGTAACAATATTTGTAATTTTGCAATATTGCAATACAAATCTTTCTCAGTGTTGTCGTGGGACTGTGACAGTATCTACCAGGATATTACATGTGGTTATTTCACTAGTATATCTGCATTCAGGTCACAGAATTTAAAACCAACATAGTGGATACTCCATCATCAACTTTTACAGGTGTTGTGTGGCAGCATTTCAATTTTTCCTTTTCAAGAAATGACACGGGTAGAAAGGAAACTGGCGGACAATTGGCAAATACTGGCAGATGAAGGCAAAACTAGCCCTGTGAAACACTTATGGATACACCACATAGAAACTGCCAAAACACGCAAAAACTGTCAGAACACAACTGTATGCTACAGTTTAACGAAGACGGGCAAACAAATGCACAAATGCAAAACCAACCACCTAGTAACCAACCTTAAAGTCTTTTTTCTTGAAAAAGTAGATTACAGTGTTTGAAAAACACATCCAGTAAAGCACAAATGTCACCTTTATGTGGCTTATTCTAGTGTAGTTTGGCATCTTCTTCCTCTCGTACTTTTGCACCAAGCAGCAGTTTGCTTACTACTGCCCATGGTAGTCGGGGGGAGGATACCTGCTTCAGCTGGTCTATTGACACAGAACCTGACCACCAGTCAACACAACCACAAAACAAAGAAAGTTAAACCTGCCTAGAGGGTACTAAACACCGATGTTCACTGTAAGTGGAAGTAGTGGCCGTTGTATTCTATAAAAGGATCTGGTGCTTCTTTTTTTTGTAGTTGTACAAATAGTCCAGTCATTCAGTGCCAGTGACAATTCTTAATTATTACATGCTTATGGACCGGCCTGGGTTTTTTTTTTTTTTTGTATATTTTATATATTTTAATAAACAGGAGCACTTTTAGTTAAAAGGAAAATCATACAAAAATGCTGGCTTATTATTTAGTAAGACTTTTAAAATCTTTTTTCTTCATTTTTTAATATTGTGACAAAAATATAATTTGCAGACATTTTATCATGACAATATTGTAACATGAATTTTTGAGTACAATATCAATGAAAGTGGGTCCTAAATTACTGTATGCATAACCTCTTGGTCCTGTCTTGTTGGAGAAGTATATGTTAAAACCTAGTTTCAAAGAAAGACTGTGATTCGTTACTTGGGTAGAATCAGTTTTATCCAACATTACTATACTTACCCAAATAACTGCTGAGATTACAGAATGTATTTGCATTGCTAAAAACAGGTTCAACAAAGCATAAATATCAGTAAACGATCAAGTCATATTGTAGGTAGCTGTAATAGTTTGCAGCTATTAGTGACTTACTATAGATGTGTGAATGCTGATTTAGCCCACTAGTGGTATTGCTTTAGGGAGGCATTGGTGTCGGTCTGTTGGTCAGTCTAATACTGAAACATCTCAACACCTACTAGATGGATTGACATGCAGCTGTGTTTGATATCCGTGGTCCCCAGAGGATGAATCCTACTGGCTTTGATCAAACCTTTCATTTGTCCAGTCCTTTGGTTTCTGACCAAATACCTGCAAATGTAATGACAGTCTCAGCTGTATTTTGTGTTTAGTGCAAATTAGCAATAGCTAATAGGTTGGTGAACATGGTAAACATTATACCTGACTAACATCAGTGTGTTAGCATTATCAACACAAGCATGTTACCAAGCGCTGCTTTGTCTGCATAGCTAGCACAGAGCTGGAGACACCTGTGCACACACTAAAGTGGTACAGATAATCTTGATAAACTCTCAGCTTCTTTACAATCTTGTCTAATCAAATACCAGCCCCTGTTTCTTGCCCTGTTGGACCTACTGTATCTTAGCAATGTTGCCAAAGATCTTGATTGGTGTTAAATATATTGTATTCAAATTACTACAAACTAACTGACACAGAGAATGCCTTTGGGCCATGTGTTATTATTATTTCATATTAAGAGTACTGGTAGAATTCTGTTTTTTGGTGAAGCCACCATGGTCTATGTCTGCTCTGTGCACCGGAAACAAAAGGGCACATCCAAAAGGCACAGAGGACAGTGGCGCAGGGGTTCACTAGGCGCCTAACAGCAAAGTGCTATATTAATCCAGCCATGCCTTGCCTAGTACCACAGAAAGGGAATGTATCATTTTACTCCATTCTACTGTTTGCATTTAAAGGCAAATAACTCACCACTTCGGTTCTATGTGTAGCTGCAGCCATCAGCGATCATCAGCCACTGTGAGAAGAGCTGATTTGGTAAAGCATAGGTTTTCTATGGCAGAGATCCCAGGGTGTAATCAAATCAAATCAAATTTTATTTGTATAGTGCCAAATCACAACAAAAGTCATCTCAGGACACTTTACAAAGTAAGGTCTAGACCTTACGGTTATCACTATTATTACAGAGGGAAAACCCAACAAATCCCCCTTGAGCAACCACTTGGCGACAGTGGGGAGGAAAGTGTCCAATCCAAAGTGTGTCAAAGTGATTACAGTTTTCATGATTAATGCGCTTGTTAAGAAGCAGCACTTGAAGTGCTTGGACACTGTGCATGGCACTTTTGAACTGCTTCCTCAGCATAATGCCAGAAGGTGACAACAGACTGGACAGACAAATGAATGCTCAGCTGGAGCAATAATAAATGATTATTATACATGTAATGGTATATTTGTATGAAGGCCACGATATGCTAACCCCTGGACATAGGAATAAAGCTTAACCTCTCACACTAAGGTGTCATATTTGAAACATATTAAAGCTCCAAACACTGCTTGAGGTTCTATGATGGAGATATTCACTCACCCAAATAACAACAACCTGCAGTTATTGTGGTAGCTACCTCCTTAACCCTCAGATGTTACTGTACAGAGAAATTTTTATAAACCAGTACACTCTGGCTCTTTGAGGAAATGTTAAATTTTGTCTGAAATAGCCAATGAAAGCTGTGTCACTGGACACTTAAGACCATATCTATTTTGCACAGTATTTAGTTGACATAAGATGTTATTAAGGATATGAAATTTAAAGAATAGTGTATATTATGTAACAAGTAAACAGTTGGATATTTTAGATAAACACTTTTTTGATATAACTTTCTAAACACCGCATCCCTTCGCAGAGCCAGCCAGTTTGTACAGAATTCACCCAAGCAACAAGCCCAATCAGAAAAGTGCTGCTTGTGTTGTCACCGTGAGGTATCCGCAGCCAGTCAGCTTGTTAACACCGCTGGGTTGCCACTGCCTGTTTTAACTTTCTGAGACACTGTTGAGAAGGTTGGCATACTATTAATACTGTTGATTGTTAAACTATATGATTAAACTGTCCAAAAATCCTTCCCTCTTGCAGCCAGCCGGTTTATACGGAATTCACTCATTCACCCAAGCAACAAGCCCAATCAGAGAGGCACTGCCTCTCTGAGACACTGCTGAGAGGGTTGGCATACTACTATTAACACTGTGAATTGTGTAATTGAAAACTCACTGGGAATTGTGCAATATATGCAACTTTAACAATTACCACTTAAAAGTGTAGACCCACTAAAATAATAAGAATCAGCATCATCAAAACTTGGCTCAATAAACACAGAGAGTATTAACCCTTTTCAGGAATTTTATATAGGAGCTTAAGAGGTACAGCAAAGCAGCAAAATATAGCATTAAAATCATCAATAATTGATTTATTTAGATTGTAAGCCGATCAAGACAACTATCATTTCTAAACATAAATCTAAAATGATCATACTGATTCAAATTATCATGGTTGAGCTCTCAAGACACTGAATAAAAGTCAAAGGTTTGCTCACGGTCACCAATCCTCAGGTGGTTTAAATTGGTTGGATTGTGGCTTTCTGTTGAAATCTTCATTTCAGATTAAATCCTCTTTTAAACAAGAATTCAGAGTTTCCACTTGCTGAATCATGAGGCTTTGCCTCCATTCCAGTGTCCCTCGCTGTCATTCCGCTCTCCGTAGAGGCTCTATTCGTGGTTTTCCTCTCTTCCTCCCCCACAGGCCGGGGCCCGGGGGAAGGAGAAGCCGCCGATCTTTACTTTATACATGGAACATGATTTTTTATTACTTTCTCAGTGTCTTTCTAATTTTTCATCACACTCCTCTCTCTGTCATACACACACAACTTCACTTCCCCTATTCAGGGATGTGTGTCTTACTTCCTGTGCTCCTTAGCTCTCTCTGGGACCCGTTTTTACAGGCTTGCCGACATATTGGAATTTGCTAATTTATAGAATTAATTTAAGGAGTATCGGCAAGGATTTGAACAAACCATAGTAGTACTGTACTTGTACAAAAGAACTACGGTATGCAGTGGTTACATCACATTTCTAGAATAAAGGAGAGCAATTAAGATAGTACTCATACAGGGTTGCTTTTTAGGTCAAATCAAAATGTTTGATTAGATTGTTAGAATAATAACAACAAACAAACTGAGTGCTCAAGTTCTGCAGGCCGCAGTAAGCTGTGGCAGAAAACCTGTCAGTGCTGCAGGTGAAATTAGGGGCTAGAGAAACCTTAATGAAAACTACTGTGCTTTAGTTTTATATTTTAACTGCCAGTTTCAATGGAAAAACGCATTTGTAAACAAAACATTGGCTGGACATGAAGTCAAGCAGTGCATACAGTGGGCAAATGGAGTTAGAAGACATGCAATTACAGTCTCAAGCAGCAAAGCATCCATGATAGATTTCTTTTGAAATCTATCACAGTTGCTATGGCACCATCATTAGGAACTTGGGAAAATGCCAGGCATTTTAGTTCATGGAAAAGCAGTTTGCATATAGTCACCTTAAGACAGAAAAGTTTATTTAAGGCTCAGTATGTGGTGCATTGATCACGTTATTGAATGAGAGCAGTAGTAAGGCCAGGCCCAAGCAGCAGTGTTGTTATTTGACTAGAGATTACATGTGTT